CTTTTCATGTCTACCTGCTTTTCTCGAGAGCACCACGCGCGGGGAATTTCCGTGTCATGATGAAAACAAATTCGATGTGCGTGCGGCGCGGGGCGCTGTGATGACTCTTCCCTTTCTTTCCTCAACCCTTTCATGCGCGCCTCCGGCCGGCGGATTCAACGCCCCGGCGCTAATAAGGACAAAGTGCCCCCCAACCCCATCCTCGCCCCCCCCTCCCCTCCCCTCCCCGCCTGAATGTCAAACGCCCCGGTCAAACAGTGACTCGTTATTAATGGTCTTTCGGATGGGAAGAAGCGCCTGCCTGCCTGGAGACGGGACTGCCTGACCGCTCCCTGATTAGAAAGTGACATTTTGGCGGGAGGTTTGAATGGCGGGAGGTCGGGGGGTGGAGGGGGTCACGCCCCATTGCTCGCAGACCCCGAGCGCGACCCCCCATCCGTCGCACACTGCGGACGATAGAAAAAATAAAAAAAAAGTCTGTGCGAAATGACTGTTTATTCTCAAGAGTTTGTCGTGTAATGTGGCGACGAAAGCAAAAACACTAACGTTTGTCTCTTTTTCAGGAACTCCTCGCCGGTCAAGATCAAGCTGCCCGAGGAGCTGCGCGACATGACGCTGGAGACCAGGCTCATCACGTACGACTGGGAGAAGCACTTCGGCTCCTTCCAGGAGGCGACACGCAAGGGCTCCTTCAAGCCCCTGTGCTGGGCGAAGAGGCCCGCCCTGTTGCCTGTGAGTATGCCCGAGTGTCTCCGTGTGTCTCCCTGTCTTCCCTCGGCGTCGACCTTTCACCGCATCGCTGTGTGTGGTCCGTCATCATCTTGCTAATGGACGCGCGGATACGGCTACCCTCGTTTCCCATTTTCTCTCTCGCTCTCATTGACTCGCCCACTCCGACAAAGATGGAAATGATTGTCCAGCCGTTGCCCATTGCAACCTTGCGTCCAAGTACTACTCGACCCTCTCCTCCCTTTGCCCGCTGGCGAAGTTGTCTCCTCCCTTCTCTCTCTCTCTCTCTCTCTCGCTCCCGCGCACATCGCGGCGCGGCGCCGGTTCGAATACCAGCAGGGCAGCCCCTCTAGCTGTTTATCTTCCCCCGCGCGCACCCTTTCTATTCATTCCTCCCCTGGCATAACACAACCCAGCAGGCCCCCCGCCGACCGCGCCCCGCCACGCCCCGCCACGCCACGCCCCGCCACGCCCAGGAGCGATCCCAAGACGGGCGCCTGGCTCCCCTCCAAACGCCTAATAACAATTTGCAGAATGAAAGCCGAACCTGGAAATGCTAACCTGCAGTGGGGCCCGGGCGAGGCGGGGCGCGGTTGGGGTGGCAGGGCAAAGTCGGACGTCAGAAGGGCGGGGCAGGCGGGTGCGCTTGAACGGAGCGACTGACTGCACCTCGCTGGATAACAAAACGAGAAACAATCGCGTTTTTGAGCCGCCCTGCGTGCTCGTGCGTGCTCGTGGTCGTCCCCTGGTGGGAGGAATCGCCATTCACTCTGCCCTGCTGCTGCCCCTACTCCCTCGCGCCACCGGGGTACCCACCTGCCTTTACTGTCCTGGCTGGACCCTCCCCCCTCCTCCCTTCGTTCGCAACCCCTTCTTTTTCAGCACCCCATTCGTCCGTATACTCTGGCACTGCTTAGTAGTGCAGTTGTCCCCCCACCCCCTCCCCTCTCCTCCTCACCACAGAGCCATCACCACTGTATTCCCAATTGCTCCTAGCTCGACTCGGCAGTATTACCTTGCTCTGCCATAACTACCCCCTTAGACCGCCCTCCTTCCCCTCTCCCTCCTCCGCCAACCTTTCCTCCTGCAGCCCTTCTAGTGCAAACTTCTCCTACCTGCAGAACACACACACACACACACACACACAC